AAAAAAAAAAAAAAAAGAGGGAAGGAGTACCAGGTGAGGATAATGCAGCAGAAGGCAAGCCAAGGTGAGGGCTCTTTGAAGAAACCAACCCTGCAAGTACATAGACTTACGAAAAAACAAAGTTTAAACAAAGTTTGTTATGACAAAATACCACCTAGCTAACATATATTTCTTTAGGCTGATATCCTTTATAGGGAAGGCAAATAATAAAGTAAATTTGGGGAAATCCATAGAAATAGATTGTTTTTCACTTTTATGGCCTCTGATGGGAAAAATTTCAAGCTCCCTATTCTGTATTTAATAACCTACATAACGGACTGAAAACAGCAGGATGGCAAAATAAACTGAAAGGCACAAATACCACTTTTCTGATTTCTGTCGAACAAGGATTTGTAGATTTCCCAGAATGCCCAGACAGCAGCAATGGACATACTTAAAACACCCAAATCTTGACTTCTAATTCCATTCCCCAATAAAAGAAATGATAGCTCCTTGGAGAAACACATGACCCTAGGACTGAAGCAGAAAATGCACAAGATGAGCCAGCAGCAACTTACAGTGCCAAAAAGAAATGAGTCTACTACGATAAAATTAGGTGTGGGATATATGAAAATTCTCTGTACTTTTTGGCCTATAAAAGTAAGAAAGAGAGATGAGAGCTGACTGAAGAAACTTCCCAATGGCCAGTAAAATAGCATTGAATTATAATTCAAAGTAAAAAAAGATACATATCCAGAAATTTACATTAGTTTCTAAAATAAATGACAGGATAAATTAATAAGTGAGGGAAAGACAAATCTATGGAGAAGTACGCCAAATAGTTTATGTAGATATGCTGCCCTTTAAAGACTGTAACTCAATACCTTTTATTTACCCACTGTAGCAGCAAACAGACTTTCTTCCAAAGCACACAGTATGGAAGGGGGAAAAAAAAGAAAACCATTACAATGGAGAAAGCCAACAAACACTACCTCAACTCAAGTGATTAAGATCAACATCAAAGAAAGAAGAATTTTGAAAGATGTACTCTCGATATGATGTGATAAGATCGGTACTTTACCTCTGTGGGCTCTCTTCCAATTCAATTTCCCCAACACCATGAGAGAAATAATCAGACAAATTCCAACAGAAAATCCTTCTACAAAATACCTAATCAGTGATCCTCAAAACTGTCAGTTATTAAAAACAAAAAAAATCTGAAAAAGCATTACAAACAAAAGTAGCTTAAGGAGTCATGATGACTAAACGTAATATGGTATCCTAGATGAGATTCTAGAACTGAAAAAGGACATGAAGAATATGAAAAAAAGCATGGTAGTCAGTATACCCATATAGGCTTAGTGGTGACAAATGTTCTAGGATGCTAGCAATAGAGAACACTGGGTATGGAGCACACAAAAATTCCCAGTACTATAATTATAATAATTTTCTAGCACTGAAACCATTCTAAAATAAGTTTAGGGCCACAAAAAAAAAAAAAAGCTTATTAAAAAAAAGGTACAAAAACTAACCTTTGTAATTATTAAGTGCCTCGGTGTCTCCTAATTAACCCTAAGAATGTTCACAAATACTCCAACAAAGATGTTACAACTAGCTTGAAATACACAACTGCCATACAACTAAGAGATGCAATTAAAAGACTGTTAGGGCAACAGTTCCCAAACTCCTGTGTTTTGCTACATTTTTCTGCAGCATGGCAACAGGCAGAAATGAAAGTAGTAATCTACAATCAAACAAGAGACTGGGTTAAATAAAGTTAAACAGACTTCATTACTACTGGCTTTATCAGAGCCTTAATATGATAGAAGTACTAAGACCTATAAGGGAGCGAGGTCTGGCAGTGCATGCTTATAATTCCAGCACTTTGGAAGGTCGAGGCAGGAGGATACCAAATTCAAGCTTAACCTAGTCAATTTGGCAACTTCACAGGACCCCATCTGAAAGTAAGAAAATTTAAAAAGGGTAGAAATATAGATCAGTGTGAAGTTCATTGGCTCAATTCCCAGAACTGCTACACAATATATACATACATACATACATACATACATACATACATACCTCTATGAGGAGATACTCAACATTTCCCTTAAAAAAAAAGTTTGCCTTGGAGCTGGGGAGATAGCTCAGCGGTCTAAAGCTTCCTGCTCAGGCAAGCTTAGGCAAAGCTCAGGGACCATGGTTGGATCTCTGGCACCACACGCTGGAAGCCAGCCAAAAAAAAAAAGAAAAAGAAAAAAGTTTGCCTTTTTTTTCCAAATCACCCGTAAGCAACTCCAAGAACAGTATTTTATTTAATGATGCTTTGGAAGTAACTGTTCTAAGGAAAATGCCAAACAATTGAATGGTAGGAGGGAAGAAAAATATCAAGCAAAAAATACAGTAAAGAAGTGCAAAGAGAATCTGCAGGGTCCAATATTATACAAGCAAGAGAGGAGATAAGTTACCCAAGAGCTACAGACAATAAACAGGACCAAATCAGAGACTAAATAAACAGGATAAAAACATTCTTCGAATTTGAGATAGATAACTGATACCTGTGACCTTACAACATTTTAGAAAAGGGGAGAAAAGAAGACAGTATTTTAAAAGATTAAGCTGGGGATCAAAATGAAGTAGATAAAGGATAAGAGATCCTCAGTAACTTGATTTTAGCAATGAAAGTTGAAAAAAAAAGAAAGCTTAGTTGATTGAAGAGAATATACAGAGAATTTTTTAAAAATTTAGGATGAGACACCCACACCTGGTTGAAGGTAAAACATGAAAACCTGCTGAGACTGATCAAAGCCAAGTGGATGGAAAAAAATGGAATCCAGAGTACATACTGGAAAAGACTTTGTTCCTTGAGACTGGAGAAATCTGAATGGTAGTGTTTAACCATCCCACGTCTAAAGGCCTCATTTTAATACTCCCAAATCTCCCAGATTTTTGCCTTTTCTACTCAATTGTTTTTCAGTCTGTGTAGTTCACTGTGTAGTAAGTGTCCAAATTTGCAAATTCCTTGCCTCGCTGAGGATGCCTGTGCTATGAAGAGGAAGAAACCAACACTATTGAAACGCACTTACCTGAAGAGCTCAATCTTTTTGAAATTAAGAAGTAAGGTAACAGCTGCTGACAAGAATGCTGGGAGTTCATGATTTTAACTTATAATGACGCACTATACATGATTTAGATGCACAAAATAAAAACGTGGTAACTTAGGCAAAAAAGGGAAGACCATTAAAAAATTCAAAAAGAAAGAGATATTATCTCACCTAGAAATTTTCACAACTCTGCTACACCAACGCAAGTTGCGTGTCACAAACTATTACCATAGTTACTAATATGCTAGTGAACACAGGAATGTTAGGTAGCAGATATGGGTAGATTTCAGTCTTAAACTTTTAAAATTTAATACTTTATATTTCCTATCTACATAAAACACCAACCCTAAGAGCTACTTAACCATACACAGTTTCATTTTATTTTCTTTTAAGAACAATGAGAATATAGACAGGAGATTCCATTGCTTAGAACTTATTTTTAGATTCTACCATTTTGGCTAATTTCATTAACAATTCAAATTGAGTAGATAATTATGGATTAACTAGGTCCAAGCTGCAAATACATGGCTCCTGGATCCATTTATCATAATATTTTAATCACAATAAGGCAGTAGTGGGTGATTTATCTGATAATTTATGTTGCTTAACATAATGTGTTGATCACCAAGAGTTAGAGGAGATAGGATTTTTTAAGTAGAAAAAAATTAATATTGATCCATGTGCCCGGAATAAGGATGAGATAATACCCACACCAAACCTGGCAGCCTCCAGATTTGCATCTGTGAACGTAAGGCGGCCACATAGGTCAGATTAGCACTGCCAGCTCAGCAGCATCCGCACACAAACCATTCTGGAGAACCAGAACTTGCAGCCAGCATCGGGCCGGGACTAGAGAATGTGGCACTGATAAACCGAGAAGTCCGGCAGAAACAGGTTTGCCGGGAGTGAGGGAAGCTTCCAGGTCAGCAATCCTGGAGTTGCGGAGGAGGCAACCGCTGAAACTGAACCCAAGAGCTCAAAGCAGCGCCCTGGGGGAGGGGGGAGGAGTCGCCCTTACCTTGTCATCCTCGCACCTCTTTCCCAGGCCCTCCTTGGCCTGCAGCCGGCTACTGAGGCGGTCATTGTCGGCCTCCTTCTGGTCGATCTGTTTCTTATGCGTGTCCACCAGGAGCAGGAGATCTGAGTTGCGCTTCTCCAGACGCCCGCGGGCCACCTCGGTGCGCTGGACCTGGGCCTGCAGCTCGGCCACCTCCTCCTGGAGCAGAACGTGGCGGGAAGAAATGCTCCAGTAGTTGAAGGCGAGGACGACGATGACCACGAGGAGTACCACCAGCACGAAAGAGGGCAGGCGGCCGCCGCGCCGGTTGGCCCCGAAGCCCACCATGAGGCCGTACTTGGCTGCACCGGGGGCCCCCGCCTACGACACCTGCGGGCAAGAGCTCTGGCCGGGGCTGCCGAGGTGCGCTGGGACGCTGCTCCAGGCCGGCAGAGGGGGGCGGGCTGACCCGCACCAGCCGAGGGGGGTAGAAGGGGGCGGGGCCGCGAGCCCGGGTCCCTCCCCGCCCCCCCCCCACCCGGCCCGAGCGCCCTCCGAAGGCTCGGAACCGAACCTACACCACCACCGAAGGCCTGGAGAAGCTCGCGGTCGCACCCCGGCCCGGCCTCCCAGGGTTCGGGGCGGGGAGAAGAGCCGGAAGAGGACGGATTTTTCCTGGCCCCGCCCACCCTCGGAACCGGTCGCTGAGGGGACCGCTCTCCGGTGTCCGCCGCAGCCCATCTTCTCGCGAGAGTGGAGTCCCCCACCCCCACCCCCGCAGCAGTCATCTTTCTAGGGTTATCACTGGTGGTACGCTGTCTGGGTTGCGTCTCCTACCAAAGTCGGCGTTTTTCCCGCTGTTGCCTGCTGAGTTCCTTTGAGCCAAGGTCTACAGTGTTCCTAGGAGTCAGGGCTTCTGGGGCTGCGATCGCGAAGCAGGGAAAACAATAGGTGATCTTCAACCAAAGAGGGGTCTCTAGAAATGTTTTGTACGCGTTTCAGTAGATTTGCGTGTGTGTGTGTGTGTGTGTGTGTGTGTGCGAGCGCGCGTGCGCGCTAACGATATGGAAAGAAAAGAACAGTAAAAAAACCCCATAAAATAGCGAAGCCCCGGACATTATGGGAAAAAAGCATAAGCTTTAGAAATGAAAGATGGTGCCAGCTTGGCTCCCAGGGTTACTGCTGCCCTGAACCTAAAGACTTTGAGAATGTGATGAACTCCCGTTTTAAATGCACTTCTCCTTTCCCTAACTGGGCTTCCCAATAGAAAGTCCAGAACCTACGCTCCCTTAATAGTAATCAGTGCACCCTTACTAACAGAAAAGACACTACGGGTTGTAGCTAATAACTCTAGCAAGTGTAGTTTATTTTTGAGATAGGGTCTCGCTATGTAGCTCGGGCTGGCCTTGAACTCACAGTGATCTTTCTGCCTCGGCCTCCCAAGTCCTGGGATCACAGGCATGTGCCATCATGCCTAGCCCACAAGGTGTGTCAGTCATCTTCTCAACAATTCAAGTTCTACCGACAAGAAATCCAAGACATTTAAAAACTTTCTTAAAGTCCATTGTCTTATTTGAAGTAGAATTAGGCTTTCATCCCGATCACTGGACTTTTAACACCCATTGCTGTTTGCATTGTACCAGGCTAGCTGTTGCTGCAGGTGCAGTATTAATCTCCACGATGCAGAGAAAGCCTGGCCTCTTGTATTTGCTCTGCATATTACCTTTGTAAGTGAAGTTAAAAGGCAATGGCTCTAACTTGTTTAGAGGAGTTGCTTTTTTTTTCTTTAAACCTCAGGATCAAGAACTTCTACGACCATAAAACCTCAAGAACCCAAAGCCCTTGCTGCTTTCCTTCAAATC